AAGAGCGTCCGATCATTATTGTATATTCATGTGTTTGGCATTGATCTTTGGAGAATTACAAATGTTGCTTTGGCCATACATTCTTACTGATTTTGGAGAAATATAAACAATATTTCGATTATATGTTATTGCTGATTTTAAATGTTTAGTTGCTGGTTTTATGTTTCAAGCACCTAAATGCAAACATTGTGAGCTTCCAATGATCATTTACTTGCTGATTTTAAACATTTTGTTGTTGGTTTATGTTTCAAGTATTTAAATGCAAACATTGTGAGATCTCAATGACCATTTACTTGTTGATCTTAAATACTCATTTGTTGATTTTGTGCTTCAAGCACTCGAAATGGAATACTACGAGGCTCGAGATGACCATTATTCCAGGGCTTGAATGCTTCTTTGCAGGTCTATGTTCTTTCATTTCCGAATGTCTCCCTTGGGGGCTGTTTTACATGTTGTTTGGTGGATTTAAATACTGCAATTGTTAGGGCTTTGCCTACTGATTCACGTACTATTTTAAAGGCAATTTGTTAACTGATTTTGGAAAGTTTACACACTATTTTGAACTGAATTTCCTAACTGATTTTGGGATATTTAAAATAAATTGATGTGGATATTTAAAATTGATGCTTTGATCTTACATGAGAGCTGTTTGAGAATTTTAAAATTACTGTTTTATGGTTGATTTTGGGAGCTTTATCTACTGTTTTGGAGATACTAAGCCCATCATTTACGGAGTTGTTTTAATCACTGTTTTAAGACATTTTGGTGGACTGACTTTGAGGTAATCTACGCACTATTTTGGCAAGACTTATGTAGCCTTTAAGTGTTGATTTACATGCGGTTTAAAATTTATTTTACGGACCCCTTTTTGCCCAATGTTTTGGGTTTCAATTGATTGTTATTTAAACGCTTTTAGGTTGATCCACTTGTTGTTTTCCCCCTTTGAATTTACTAGTTTTAGAAGTGGGTCTGCCTCATCCTTCTTTTGTTTTACTTCTTTTTAAATGGTTAAGTCATAAAGATGGGGATTGATGATTTAATTAATCGGAAGATATAGAAAACCTTAAATCACCTTAAGCATAAGTTAAAG